TCATCGAGGTATAATCCATTCTCATCAGTGGAGGGCTAAAGTCTTCCTGACAGAAATAGCTTGGGCTGTGGTATAGCAGTTGTGCTGCATGTAATGCTGAAGCAGTCTCTTCCATAGAGGGTTGCATTCCAGGAGGTAACGGTTTCCTAGAGATACAGGGAAGGAGGGCAGGGGGTTAGTGGCCAGAAGAGGCTAATAGGACTCCATCAGAGACTGGCCAGAAACTTTTGGCTAGCAATTCCAGCCTAATGGTACTGGATAGCTTGCAGGGACACTTCCTTCAGCCGGAGCTCTGTGAAATCACAGCTCCCTTTTTAGGGCTGCCATATTTGCTAGCAGCTTCTCTACACATCACAGCCTATACCTGCATGATTAGTAGGAAAATAAGCAGCCGAATTCAGTTAGAAGAGAACTTGAGGGCACAAGTGATGGAAACAACACACCCTGAACCAGAGGGTGAGAGAAATTATCCATGCTGCACATATACCAGCAACATGCATGAGCCACATGCACGATCTTGGCTTTGTGTAGATTTCCCAGATAGCTCAATTTCTAAATCACAGACAGCCTAAAGGGCAGAGGAGCAAAGCAAGATCATTGGTTCTACTGGTTTGGAGGTCCACTACTTTATCAAAATCTTCCTGTTCCCCTGCAAGCCTGTGCACGCTCCCACGCTACTCACCTATAATGCAGAGGCCTTCCTGAGCTCGTGTGATACCAACATTAACCTGGTTTGGGTCAGTAACAAATCCCAGGTACTTCTTCTGCCAGCTTTTTGTGGGTCTCCTATCAATCTCTGATCGGGGACAGGAGCGCACAGTGGACAGGATCACGTATCTCCACTCGCTTCCTAGAAAGAGGGAATTGAACAAGATTTTTCAGAAAGTGTCTGGCTGCATCACAAGGCACTCCTTTCTCTATAGCAAGCATCCACAGAACTGCAAGCCACCATTTGGGCGTCTCCAGCTTTGGAGGCTATTTGACTCCGGGTCATTGCTCTATACTTTACTATTACTATGGAGGTTCTTTAATATCCCCTTCAGATGTCCTTCATATTAAAACTACCTTCTTATGTTCATCAGTCTCTCCCTGCCTGGGCACTGCAAAGGCTTCCAAGGAACTAATTATGATCACAAATCACCCAGAAATCTAGCCCAGAGATGCCTCCTGCATGGCTGAAATGACCCGGATATCAGATTTTCTTGCCTTTGCGAGAAGTTGCTTTAACTTCCTCAGGAAGGCAGGAGGGAAGAGGAATAACTCTTCCCTCTCCTGAGAGCCTCACCTTGACTTTTCATGATAGTGCAAACAGTCACTCCACGGATGCCCTCCCTCAAGAGGCGCTTGCTGATCTCGGACACCTGGGCGTTGTAGGGGCTCAGGATGGCGATGCTCTCCGGCCGGATGGTGCCATCTAGCGTCAGCTGCTTCGCCGTCCTCACCTGGGGAGAGGCAAGGTCCTGCTGATGGGGAAACAGCAGCCCGCAACCAACACACCCTGCTGGAGGGCGGAAGGACATGGGTCCCTCCAACGCCATACCCGAAACGTCGCAATAGTACCTGGCTGCACTATTCCCTCTGCTGGGGGTCACGCTTCCCTGCAACTGCCTCTCACAGGGAGGAGCGTGGCATGGCGTACTGAGACCCAGAAAAACTCCAGGCAGGTTCTGCACACAGGGAGCCCGTTTTCCCACTGACGTTCATTCTACATCCCTGCTCACCATAACAATCCCATCTTCCCTCCGTGATCTGCAAACTGCCCTAGGATAACACGCCAAAATTTTGCAGCTCCCGCTATACCCCAAGATCCTTCTCCTGGCCTCTGCTTACCGCCTGCTCCACTTCTTCTTGGTTAGCTTTGGAGTTCTCATTTCCTTCCTCAGTAGAAATCATGAGGCTCTGCTCCTTCCCCTCTATGTGCCCAAAGATAATCGGGCAGCATTTATTGTCTTTGTGGTAGAAGACGCTGGCTTTACGAAAAAGCCGAGGGCATGTGTTCAGCCGCCTTTCATAAAACTCCTGCGATGGGAACTTGCAAATGTCTTTGTGCTGGCAGAGAAAAGGGGAGAAACTGAGATGAACAAAAAAACCAAGGAACCCCTCCGCCCTCAGCTGCTTTTTGGACAGGCTTCACCTGCAATGCCACTGTGCTCTGCCTTGCACTGTGCAAGTGCATTATTCATTACCCCAGGAAGGGAAAGCACTACTGGAGAATATCTGTTTCTCAGTGGCTTGAGGCAAGCCCTGATTGCAACATTCACTGTGATGGAAAAAAGACAATCCACATAAGAAAAGCCTCACCATACGGTACTGCGTATCCAGCATCCAAGCCTGATTCCGGTAACGCTCAAAAAGAGACGTCTCCATGCCAAGACTCTTGCAGAAGTCATTGTTGACTACGGGCCGCAGCTGTTTATGATCCCCGAGCAAAACAACCTGGAACAGAGAGTGGACTCCTCAATTCTGAAAGTGGCGGCGCAGGCGAAGGCAAGCAGCTCTTTGGCTATTCACGCTCAGGCATTCATTGCTCCTTATATTATGGTTACAGCAACCTCGATCAGGGACCATGCTGGGCGTTATACAAACAAAGAAGAACCTGATCCAGATAATTTGGAGTCTAATTCTTATCTGATAGGAGAGAGCTGTCGCGTAGCAAGAATCTACCAAGATCTCCTCTATACTTCTTGCTGTGTTGATAATCTGCACCTAAGTCAGCACATTTTCTGGTGGCTGTGATACTCACCCGGTAAAGAAGCACCAAAACCATATCCATGCCACCACTTTTCTCCTACAGAAAGCCAAGTGCAAACTCAGAGGAGACAGTATGGGTGTAACTAGGAGACAGGGAGCTGAGATGACGCACAGTAAAGAGGCAAGTATAGGCAATAGTTCTCTACCATAGCTTTTAGGCCTATGGCAGGTCTTAGGACTGCGCTTTATGTGATATGAACAGAAAACGCATAGCTCATGCTTCTGGTAAGACTACTTATGTACTGTACGTTCCTCAAGACTTTATATTTAATGGAGTTATACCTCTGAGGAGATGACTGCCTGAAGACCGAAACACTGATACACCATCACGGGCACTGTCAGAAACAACCTTAAAACATGGTCTAAACTTGGAAGAGCAGCACAGTCAGGGATGGAATGTGCGCATAGACTCAAGAACTCTGAGCAGCTGTCCTAGAGATGCATCTTTGGAAGGTGCTCACCTTTTCAGCATACTTATGGCTGACCAAGGGGATGAGGGTCTCGGGCTCTGTGGACATGGCACACTCATCAATGAGGATCTGCCTGACATTCAGCTTCTCCAGGCAGGGGGCAGATGCGGCGGAGCACGTGCACAGAATCACGTCGTGGCATGTTAGCTCATGTGCACGTGCAGCTGACAACAGATTTTTGTACCTGATGGCCAATGCAAAGACATCAGGTTAGGCACACAGGAAACACCTCCAGGTTTCTAGTGCAGGAACCATGCAGAGGCTATACTTTCTGAAACGATTATGGCTCCGTCTCCTTCCGCAGGATGAGCTAGTGTTCCCAGTAAAGGGCTTTGGATACACACAGTAGGAGAACGCTTTGTTCTGAAATCAGCAGGGCAGACACTCAGGGTGGGGGATGCAAGCATCTCATGGGTAACTTAACTTTTAGTCCAGACATACAATAGCACCTGAACAGAAGTGATTCTGGAGGCTCTGTATTGTAGCACAAGCCCTCAAAGTGCCACTGTGCTCCCTTCACAAGGCAAAGTGGCTAACGTTACTTTCAGGTATCGGCAGGTTTCAGGCTAACAGTACCTGCGCAGCATGGTCTATGCTGTCATTCGAACAGGATCACTTTCTATCATCATTCTAAACCTCCTAAGGAAAACACACACCTTGTTACTCTTTTCATGTTTTCATCTATTCCTTTGGCTTGCAGGAGCCAGAACAAATCAAGTGACTTTCATGGTGCTTTACCAGTTTATATTAGCTGAGTCCTAGAAACTATAGCCCAAACTACTTCTCATCAGGGGAGGAAGACTGCTGCACTGCGCTACTTTAGGCAGCACTTCTTTAGAAGTGGCATTCAGCCAAAAAGAGCCATCTCTCACGAGGGTCTCTTTTTACTCACTTCTTTATCTCTTCTTCTGCTATCTGATCCTCCTTCCTCATTCGGGCATCAAATTCACAGATCTTCTGCCAAAAAGGGTTGGGCGGCCGTCGGATTCGATGATGCAGGATTATTTCACTGAATAAAGAGTCAATTTTTTTTTTTTGTTTAACTTTATACAATACTTTCCACACACAGACCAAAGTTATCTCCTCTACAGTGAAGCATACAACACCTGCCTATGTGGAGAAACTACTTTAGCTAAAAAAGTCGCAGCCAGACATTTCCATCTTTATAGGCCTTACACTTAGTTCACCCTTGAGGGTACAAAACGTAACATCCTCTTTTTCTTAAAAAAGTTACAAGCAGTAATGAAGTCAAGAGACTTTTAGAGCTGTTTAAAAGAAAGATGAAAGCACCTAGGATGTTTCGTGACTAGGTGCTACGTTAGACTTGCACTTTCTTCTGAAAAAATTAAGTACAAAATAGTCTAACAACAGGAGTGCCATCAGAAGAGCTAGTCTGATGTTTTGAACCACAGGCCTGCTGGTTCCTTACAAAGGTCACAAGGACGACATTACAAAGCTTCAACAGCCTTGGGCCCCCCCTGCCAACTCCAGCCTGGCACCACCACCTGGACAAGGACTCTGGCAGCTCACCTTCCCCAGAGTCCCCCAGAGAGAGACCAGCGCTGCTCTGCAGCAGCAGAGCAGACACCGTGCTTGCTTTGTTCAGCTTTTCAGCTGCAGCAAACACCCCCGCCCACAGCTTTCAGAGCCTGTGGGGCCCTGCCCTCCTACCTGAGTTCACGCTTTGGCTTTGCATCTCGCAAGGCTTTTCGGGAGAGGTGCCGGTTGCTCCCTGGATATGGGTATTCCATCGTCTCAATCGCCTCACCGTAAACCCTCAGCGGTCTCAGGTCTTTCATCTTCAGCAGCATCTCTGGGGAAGGAGAACAGGTCTGCTCAGACAATGCCAGGCACAGGTGCTGATGAGAAACCCCTGCACACACTGCTCGAGATGCCCAGCATTCACCACACACCAGTCCTTCCTCCCCACCCCTTGCTCATCAGTCCCAACTTTACTGGTCCTCGTCCTTCAGTGAAGGGTCTGTTCTAAGGGACAGACTAAGCTTTCTGCCACTCCTGTCTTCCAGCTTCCTAATCACGGGCACGTGTTCTCCCTCCCAGTGGTACAAGCTCCTTTAGGGGCTTAGAACAAATAATTACCAGCAACAACATCAACAGACTTGTTGGATGGGCCACAGTACAAGATGCACTTGGTCCCTTTGCCCTCTTCTTCATCCAAGAATTTTGGTTCTTCCTTCTCAGCGATCTCCTGGTTCAGCTTATGGAACCAGTAGACAATGTGAGTTCCAACGACGGTTTTCCCTGTGCCTAGAAATGCAAGAAGGTTGAGAACACTTTAATAACTATACCCTTGGTCTAGTTCAGCACCAAAACGATCAACCTTGGGAATCTAGAATCCAGAAGATTGCCTTAAAGAGTTGTGTGCGATGCCAACCCACTCTACCCTCAACTATCTCGCCAAGGGTCCTATGGAAAGCAATGCTGTTCCCTCCCCCCTCCTCCTCAAAAAAAGCAGACTAGTTCTATCCTGCCTTTAATGACAAAGGACACGTGTACACGCATCCTCCCCTCCCCCTTACCTGGTGGACCTTGGATGAGCGTGAAGGATTTTCGTAGAGCATTTAGAATTGCCTGGTTCTGACTCTGGTTGAGCTTCCTTTGACTCCCAGGGAGATCAAAGGTTTTTTGCAGCAGGAGTTTGGAAGTTATCACTGTTATGGTAAGAAGAAAAGAAAACAAGTTTAAAGAACGTTACTGAAGGAAGCACACAGGCAGTTCAATAGCACAGCAGGCACCAAGCAACCATGCCCCAGTTACAAGACCTCCCAAACACAATCCTTGTCTCATGCCAAGAAGTTCTGCCCATGAACCTTCTCTGCGAGTCCTGGGGATTAAAACATCACCTGCATCACTCTCCAGTATGGTAGCCTGCCTTTACTCTGGCAGTGTTACAACTCCTTTCCTGCCCTTAGCAGGGGAGCTTCCCAGCTAAAGAGAAGAGAGGTGTGCTATGCAGGCCTGATGGTCTGCGAGCATGATCCCTATGGCAATGACCCACGGAAACTGCCAGGGCACCTACCTGGCCTGAAGCAAGTAGCCATAGCATAAAAAAAGATGAATATTTGTACCCACCTTTTGTAGGAGGCACATGGTTTAGTGCGATGCTTTTAGCAAGGTCAGAGGCATACATGAGCTTCCAAATTGCATTTTCTTTCCGTCTGACGGACAAATAAAAACAAGAATGAATGAAATGTGGCATAAAATATTGAAGAACAGAACACAGCTTTGTACAACTGTCTTATTTATTCCTTCTCTGCTTTGGTCTTGCATTAAATCCTTCCACAAAGAGCTTAAACAATTTGCATACAAGTCCCATTCTCCTATTTTGTATCCATGACTACTTCCCAACTATCTGAAGAGCTGAGCCTGCAAAGATGTTGAGAGCAAGGAGTACAACTTATGTCCCGACTCCATTTTATTGGATTAGCTTCCAGTTTTTCCTAAAATTCAAGACACAAAGGGAAACACGCTCTGCCCTGAGGAAAGCTACAGCAGTTGGGGTGTGATTATCACTCCATACGGAGTACAAAGAAGGGCAAAATAGACATCAGCTCTACTTTAATAATAGATCTTGCTTCACAGCCACAACAAAGGAAAATGAATGGGAAATCAGGGAGTACATGTCTGCTAAACAAACCCTGAGCCACACTGCCATTTATGACATATATTGCAGCAATTCACTAGCATAAGAAATAGATGCCCAGTGCAACTTCAGCACGGCACTTTCCCCTGTCTCCCCACACCCATTCTCAAGGTCAACCGGAAGAGCATGAAGCTATCTGGAGAAATGCTGCAACCCCCACCAAATGTCAACAGCCCAAGAGCATGGCCAGTTGAAGCTGAATAAAGACAGATTTTCAGAGGATCAGCCTCATCAATGAGCAAAACTCATTTGGTTTAGCAGAGGAGTCTCATGAGAAGCTATTAGTCTGTTTGGACCAAAAGGTTAATTAGAGAATGGATGCTAAACACACTTACACATCTGGCAACATCTTTGGAATCAGCTCCACCGTGAACCTGGCAGAGTCCTGTGAGATTTCCACAGGAATATTCTCCATAGACATATAGTGGATGTAAAAATTGAAAGTTTGTTGACTACTCCTGTCTGACTTCTCATCGTCGCCAAACTCTTCAGTGAGCCCGTGAGCCACCCAGGTGTATGTGCCGGGATCAACCACAAGTTTGCTTTCTGATCTGCCTTTGTTAAACAAAGTCAGATTCTGGAGACCGTGGCTAAGGCACTCCTCATCGCTTTGAAGGCTCGCAAGGTCCAGCCCACTTAAGCGAATGCACAAGTAACAGTGGTTGAAATCTACTTCAATGGAGCACTCTTCCAAAAAGCTTTTGGTTACAGAGAAAGTCCCTTGCAGCTGCCCTTTGCTTGTCCTTTGCTTTGCCCAGGTTATTTTGACATCATGGAGGACAATGGAGTCATTTTCAGCCACTGCACACGAAGCGGATTCCATGGCACTCATTGGCATCCACACTTTGTTATACTCCACTGCATGTTTGTACTTGTCTTTGGATGGCTGAGTGGCATATGCAGAGAAGCAATCGATGGGCTTTTCTGTGTGCTGCAGACAGATGTCAAAACCTGGCGTCACACACCACAGCTGCACAAAGGGCACCAGGAATCCCCGGTAAACATCTGTGGTGAGCTGGAACTGCAGCGCGTCACCAGCGCTCAGCTCCAGGGACAGTTCCACATAGTGCATGCACGGACTTTTCCTTATCCTCCCCACGTGCCGCTTGTGGTGATCCTCACCCCTCTGAAGGAGAGGGGCCACATTCTCAAACTTTTCACTTTTGATGGCCGAGAGCACGTTTTGCCAAACTTGGGCACTGAAGAGGGTGACACTGCGGTCACAGAGAGGCCCCTCCTTCAGGCTATGTTCCTTCATCGTCACCACAGAATATACCCTCCTCTTCCACATGAGCCTCATGCTGTTCCGCTCCTGGATGAACGTGGGCTGCTCTGTCAGCTGAAGAGCTCTGTAGTTAATTAACTGGGGATCAGGAAGAGTCTCTTTGTTCAGTGGAAACAAGGCTTTAAAGTACTTGTTCATCCCTTCGATATCCACTACAAAGGCCACCTTCTGCAGGACTTGCGATTTCAGCTGAATGGCCATCTGCAGGGAGTGGGCCCTCTTCTCGTACGTCACAGCTCGGGAATTCTTCCTGTTGAAGTCATGACAGAGAAACTCAATGTCCTCCAAAGAATAGGCAATCGGCTTCTTGCGGAGCACGGAATGAAGGTGCCGCTGGACCACCACATCCATATATCGGCGGATGGGAGAAGAAGCCCAGGTGTACGAGTCAACATGCAAGGAGTAATGGCCTGCTTTTGATTGCGCAGTGGAGTTGGAGCGACTGAAATAAGAGCGGCTGAGCAGTCTCCTGAACTCCAGCACCACGGGGGCCAGCTTTGGGTGGATGTCATCAGTGACAATAAGGTCTAGCATCTTGTGGAAATCACAGACATTTGCAGCTGACTGTAGGTGCTCCCAAAGCGGGGCCAGGAGTCTGAACTCCACATCTTTTGATGAGACTTGACTGGGAAGCACATCTCCCAGATGGTGTGAGAGATGGATGGACAAAGGAATGATGTGGCTGTACTTGCTTCTCATGAGTGATATCTGTTGAGGGCTTGGCTCACTCTGACAGCGGAGAGGAGTGACATTTCTGGTGACCTCCTGGTTGGTTAGGAACTCAGCCACAAAACTGTTGAACATGATCATGAACTCCTCTATCATCTGATGGGAACCTCTGTTACCTGGGGAGCTTTCCTCATCCAGCTGGTCATAGAAACAGTCTTCCTGCAGGCGAAACTTCCGGTGGATCCTGGAGAAGTGATAAGCCACAGCTATGCAGTCCTCCAGGGTATCAAAGCGAAGGGCTTCTGCGTCTCCCCTGTAGTGGTTCTTAATGAAGAGCTCCGCCTCTTCATAGGACAGCTGCCTGTCTGAGCGAATCACAGACATAGTGAAGGTTCCCTTTATCACTGTATCAGTCTTCTTTTCTACAGTGACAAACAATGAGATCACACGACGATCTTCCTGTGGCAGGAGGCTACAGATTTCCTGGCTAATTTTGGGTGGGAACATGCACAGTGGCTCCCGGTTGGGAGCATAGTATGTGGCACCCCGTTTCTTTGCTTCCATGTCCAAGGCACTGCCTTTGGGAATGATGCCAGCCACATCTGCAATGTGGATCCCAATCTCATAGTGGCCTCCAAGATCCCTAACACTGACAGCATCGTCTAAATCCTTAGCACCTGGGGGGTCAACAGTGAACGTCAGGTAACTCCGACAGTCCTTCAGGTTTTCCTTGGTGAGGTTTGGTTTGCTGGAGGTGTGTTTGGCTAATTCCCTGGTAACGACAGCAGGATATTTATTTTCCAAATCATACTCCAAGTCAAGGATCTTTAGGCCTTCTTCCAATGTCAACGCAACATGCAGAATCTCAGTTATTATCCCCAAAGGGTAGTAAAACCCTTCCCGCCAGGAGATAATCTGGACACAGAAGAGCTGGCATCTCCTCGTCTCCTGGCCGATCTTCTCACAGCTGACCACTCTGTACTTCCCGTTGACAAACCTGCGGATGGGAATGACGTTTGGTTTTTCTTTCAGCCCTGGGACAAATATTTTGGTGACAGTGCGATCAATGGGTATCATCACCCGGGGATCAAATTCGTCCATCATGCAGATAAAGGTCCGTTCTCTCTCTGCACGCTTTAATATGCCCACCACCTTCCCTTGAGGGCGGAGGCAGCTACTGTCAGCTGTGCTACTCTGCAGGATTTCCACAAGCACTTCATCCCCAGTGAAGGCCGTCCCGCAGTGAACTCTACCTTTGATCTGAATGGTCATAGCGGGCGAGTCATTGAGGGTGAAGGCAGAAGCTCTGTCAAATCCCTCTTTGATCAGCTCGCACCTCTTGTACATTTTGGGGTGCATGTGGAGATACTCTTGCATCGTCTGAGAGGAAAAATTGACGTATTCCTGCCTGTCTTCCCACTGGTTTGAAGCCTCAGACTTCACGTTCAGCAGCCCTTCCTCGGACACTGTCACCAGGACGTTCTTGCTTTCATCTAAGAGCTCCTGGAGAATGGGATCGTCGGGATTCATGCTATCAGCCTCAGAGCTCCAGGAATCGGTGTCGCTGTCCTCCTCATCCCCCTCTGGGCTCCTCCTGCTCCAGCTCTCCTTGTCACACGCCGCCTGTTTGATCTGCGCCATCGTCAGGTTCTCCGGAGTCACGCTTCCCTTCTCAATGCACTCCTGGATGAAGCGTTTCCACACCTTGCTGCACTGGCCATGGGAACACAAGGCCACGGCATCCCCCACCACAACAACCAGCGACTGAGCCCTGGTCATGATGGTGTTGAGCACTCTGGCTTCATTGAAGAACTCCAGGCGGTGGGAGGCAGAGCTGCGCAGACTCTCGCTGGTGTGGACTGTGCTGATAATGATGACCCGGAACTCCCGCCCTGCAAGGGAGGGGACAACGGATAAGTCACTCATGGGAAACCAACGGGGAAAATCCTGTCTGGCTGCCACACATATCTCTGTGCACCTAGGCTGCATTGCACTGCTGCAGCTGCACTGGCAGTGGCAGGCTGATAGAAGCTCACTTGTCTGAGTCACAGAAGTTGCTTGATCCAAAAAAGGCAGCTCTCAGGGAACGTGAGGGCCTTCATGCATAAGCCAGGATAGACACCATGAGGGCACCACTGTGCAAGCCCCAGGGAGGGGAGGGAAACACACAAAGAGAGATAGGACAGTTGAGTAGTGCATCAGTGAGCACTAATGGACCAGCACTGCGTTCACAGGGCCACCAGCATCCCCCACTATCCACTCCTAACAAGGGTGGAGTCTTCTGTGAATCCCAGATTCCTGGGGGAATTGAGGATTTTGCAGGAACAAGAGCAGTGACCATTCACAATTTTCCCTCATCCCTTCGAGGACAGCTCTGCTGGCTGATCGCACTACAAATAACAAACAGCTAGAGTCACCCTGGTGATTTCAGAGCTGAGAAGAGACTGTAAAGAAAGGGTGTTCAGATCATAAACACACCCCAGGGGTCAGTTATTCTCACCATGAGATGTCCCAGCTGCACAATAAAAAATAAAAAAATAAAAACACGGATGAGTCAAACTAAGTCCTTGAGGACAAAAACAACACCATCCTTCTCTCATCATTAAGTGCAGTGGACTCCTTTAGCTAGCCGTTCTGCGGTTCATGCTGCAGTTGGTACCCACAGGCCATCTTGGTTTCAATTCATCTTTATTACTTGCCTCCCCCACTGGCACTGGGAGCTTCACATGATTCACACTTACTGAAGTCTCTGGGATGCTTTAAGCGAGTGCTCTTCTGCTGGCATGAGCACAAGCCAAGGTTATAACTGATCAGTTCCCACTTACAGGGTTTTCACCCTCCTACAAAGTAACATCCATAAATTTTAACAAGTTGACAGTTGGGTACAGATTTAATTCAGTGTGAAATCCTATTCACTAAGAAAAGGATGAAATCAAAGAATTACTGGTAACAACTAGACAAGGATGGAAATCAGTCAGAGGAGTTCCACGCACTCGCTCCTAATCAACGTGAAGTGGGCCACAGCCGCTTGCTAACAGCATCTGGAGCAGTGGAGAGCAAAGGGAAAGGGTAGGGAAGGTCTGCCTAACAGCATGACATACACTCTCCCAGAGAGGTATTTTGCCACGAGATCAACAGGGATATTTTGCATGGAAATGCATGTATGGACACATGCTAGATGAGCTTTAAGAAGGTGGGGTATCCAGTACAAGAAACGTGCACAAATGCACACCTCCAGCAGCTGAGCTGGATAGCAGGCACAGCAAGGAAAGCAGCCAGAACAAACCACCATGCTAGCAACGCGGAAGTGCAGCACATCAGGACTCATTTGCTCCATCATCCTTGCTAAAATGGCAAAGGGAGAGTTGACAAAGATTAAGATGCCAGAAGGACCTCTGCTAATGACCCCCCGTGTCTGTTCCCCCTGCCCACTGCCCGGTGGCTCTAGCTGCAGTACACCCTCCTGTCTGCTGACATGACTGGGAAAGCTCTCCCAAGAGCACAGGAGAGCTCAGAATGCCTCCAAGCATTAATAACCACTGCACAGAACACAAACCTGGCAAGTTTTCATAGTTTTCTACCACCACATCTTGTAGGTGCCTTTTCCTCAGCTCTTGCCTGGTTGCAGAAACCTAGTAAGAAACAGAGAGTCACAAACCTGAGGGCAGTTTCAGGTCACAAAGCCCCCCTCCACCACACAACTCCAAGCTTCCTGCACCCTCAGCACTTACAGACACACCCTTCTCAACCCAAGACAGTTACTTGACAGCAAATTACACGTCCTGAACTGATTTTGGCCTGCTTCCCCAGCCTAAGTTATAGTTAACCTACGCAGAGGATGCTGAAAGAAATCTTTAAACCATCCCACCGTGAGGCATCTCTGCTCTGACCGCCCATGCTACCTAAATGTAAATGGATCACGCCTAGAAAAAACACACCGTTGGCATGCAAGACTCACAGATTCCCTACCTTTGCCAGCACAAGAGAGACAGGTTTATCATAAACACAGTCCAGCATCTACTAGGGAGCATTTGGAGAGAGTTCAGAGTGGCACATGCATACCAACTTCAGTTAAGGAACATGTAGCTCTCCTACAAACCTGTGTCCCATGGGAGACCACACAGATCCTCTTCAGATTTTGGACACCCCACTCGTCTGGCCACTTCTCAAATATCTCCTGCACTTTCTCAATCACTTGCATTATCTCTGAGGTGTTATGCCAGGAAATCATGGACATATCCCTTTCAGCCATGCCAGGCACGTGGCAGAACATGAGCGGGTAGATTTCCGGATGGGGTGGGATGTTCCCACTGGCTTGGATAGCATTGCCTTTGCCCACATAGAAGTGTTTGGAGACAAATTCAATTATGTCTGCAGTGGAACGATAATTCTCATTGAAGATGATCCTGCTCTTCACAGCCACTTCATGCCTCTCCTTCTGGTAAAACTGAAAGAGTCGGTTTAACAGGGTGTGATCAGCAGACTGTCCGTCTCCAACGCAGAACAGCTTTGGGGTTATCTGCATGTGGTCCCCAGCTAGGACAATCCGAGTCTCAAAAGTGGCATATGAGAGCGGAACCAAAGCTTCGCATTCCAGCATCTGAGCAGCCTCGTCGATCATGATGTGAGTGAAGTAACCTGGAGCCACCTTCAAGTTCTTGGATAACATGGAGGTGGTAATAATTATGCGGTGCCTGTCAATCTCCTCCTGCGTGGGGTGCCTGAAGGAGCGCTGGTCCGCAGAGAGACAGCAGTACATCTGAGTGATGGGGTCTGTCAGGTTGATGGGACGGTCAGTGGATATAATCCTCAAGGGAACAGCCCATGGACGCCCTTTGGTTACATAGTTATGGAAATACTCCCGGATGTAGATGTCCGCAGCGCTGCACGGGAAGAAGAGGGGAAACCATCATGGGATTTAAATGCCGTTCTTATACGAGACCTTCACCCCAATGCACTACTTAATCATTCATCAACAAGGTGCCAAAATCACCCCCAGCTTTAGCTGACAACACTCTTCAAAAAAGCTATTCACATATGTGCAAAGAAGCCTGCATTTACACAACCACCAATTCCAAGCATATTTTGAGAGTATGGTTTAAAATGTGTATTGCTACCCGACACTAAGGCACCTCTCAATGCTCGTAGGGACATGACACTGAAAACGCAGTGTGCCCAGCAAAATATCTGGCCCTGCATCTCTACAGGGTAAAGCTACACAAATGCGGTCCAGTGCACCTCTCCTCTGACAACTGACCTTTGCCAGCATCCCCAGCCCATGTGGATGGTGCAAGATCTGTGCAGAACAAGCTTCAGTGCAACCAGACAGCCTGAAGTAGGCTAAGATTAGAAGTTACCATTTATTATACATTAAAAAGCAAGGCAATAGCAGCCTGCAGGAATGGATATGGACACTATTCTGAGCACAGTTGTTCTAATTTTAATAGTCTTGTCCTGGATTCTCTCAAGGCAAATTCAACATCAGTCAGACCAGATCTACATTTCCCCCTTCCCCAAACTCTCCCTGGAAAAGTCAAAATATTGACATGTGCACAGAGCACAATAGCTTTCAAGGGAAAGTAGAGTATAGTATCATCCCAAAAAGACCAGGAGATGGCTTTCCACTTCTTCTGCTACACAGTAAGGACTAGAAAGAATTCAACTATTTTCCATCCCTATCTTATAATCAAGTAGGAATATGCTAACTAACTTTCCACAAACACTTCCACCCACGCCAGGCTCCTTTCTAGCAGCAGTGCTAGAACAATTTATTTAAATAAATAGTTCATTTTTATTTATTAAGTAATTTAAATATATATTAAGAAAAGGCCAGCTTAGCTCCCTCTCATACACTCTGGCTCCCTTTCATCCCTTCACGCATGCACTGGCCCAGCACAAGAATCAGGCCCCTGACTGGTTACCTCTTCACTTCCTTCCTGCTAACCTGTTAGTGTGAGTGCAGATCAGCACCCGTGTGTTGGGCTGCTTCAGGATCTCCATGGTGGCCATGGCCAAGGTGAATGTCTTCCCTGTGCCGAAAGGCCCATAGATCAGAAGAGGTGGGATCTGCCGGCTGCTGGTTGCTTGGCCCGTGATGAAGGAGATGGCTAGTTTCTGCTTGCTGTTCCCTTTCTCTGATAGCTCGGGAGAATAGGGGATAGAGCAATTGGCAACGTCAGGTAGAACCAGCTTCTCATCCAACAGGCGGTCAACAGCATGGTGCCACTGCCGGAACAGCAACCGGTCAATTTGGAACTGGATCTCCACATTGTAGGAGGTGTTTGGCTTGAAGTTCAACTCAGAGCAGCATCTCTTTGGTATCTGTAGCCAGATGGTCTTCTCAGTGGTGGCCTTATTCTCCACATTGACCTCATAAACCCGATTGTCTACTGGTGGGTCAAGTGCCAGGAAAGCAATGGGCACAGACCTGTTCAGCAGATACCCCTCATCTGTGTCTGGCGAGAGGTTATACGGGGTAGGCACTTCGGCAAACAGCTCACCAGACAGGGCAAACTTCATCCCCATAGAAAGGCTTTGCAGCATCGGAGTCAGCAAGATGGAGACCCGGAGGTTGAGTCTGAAAGGCAGAAATACCTAAATTAACAGCAAAGAACTGGCTGATAGTTCATCAGTAATTGTCCTCCCTACCGCAGAGGAGGGACTGCCACTTACACCCAGAGTAAGTGGCACCTGAGTACAGCGATAGGAATCGTGCTTCTACCTAAACCACAGCCACAAAACAAGACACAGCCCTTCCCTGCCTATGACTAACCAGCAAGACACCTTTCTTGGCAGCTTTCCATTTTTCTGGGAACGTCCAACAGGTGTCTGAGGACCAAACCCGAAAGAGATGGAGACTAGATCTTCAATAGTTGCACGGCACCAAGGACAGGGTTAGCAATGGGTCTGTGATCCACAGCTAGCAGGACTCCTTTGGATACACAACAGGTACTTACTTGGCAATGAGAGCCTGTTCGGCTTCTTCTTCCCGGAAGAGGAAGTTGTGCATCCTGTCCCTGTATGTGAGACGGGTGATGGGAGGACTTGCACCACCCTCATGCCGAAAGTCCAGAGAGAGAGCAGGTGGTTTGTATCTGGCCAGCAGATCCACCTCATCACTGGTCCTTAGCACGCTGGGAACGATGACCCTGTTACCACTGTGCCATCGCACAAAGTTCACAGGACGGATGCTCTCTCTACTGGCTGGGATCTGCCGAGGAAGCTCCCGCTGGCCCACCTTGGCCCGGATTTTCTGGATGAGGACAGGGCGGCTGCCAAAGTCAAACACCACCCACTGCTCGAAGACTCCCAGTGTGCAGCACTCCATGCAAACCTCCACCAAGGATGTGTTCGGGGAGGAGGGCAGAGTGCTCAGGTGCTCCCCCCTAATGTAGTGGAGGCCCCGTGAAAATCCATCCCCTGAGAGGTAGAAGGTGACTCCAGGTTCCCTCTTCAGTAGCGCCACATGCTTCAGAGGCATCTGCCAGTTGAGGAGACAAGAACACATCGTGACGTGTGGACCCAATGGCTCATGAGATCTTCCCAGTAGCGTTCCCTATCAAAAGCTGGTGCAGGACCTGAACATCACACCAAATCTACACAGCGTTCTTGCAATTCTCCAGAAAGGAACTTATTCCTTGCGTAATCCCATAGCAATTACTTTAAGCTTTAAAAAAAAAAAAGCTCAGGTTTCAGCTGTGTAACAGTTAAGACAATCTTCTATAAACGGTAAATCTCATAAGCTGGCAGAAAACAGTTAGGCCCAGCCTCTTGCCCCAACACCCAGGAAATTCTGGGTAGGAAAATAACCAAATCTTGCTATTTCTGACCACATCCAGGACATGTTCAGAGCAGCTAGGTACACCGTGAGGACCTAGTACATGAGAAGAGGCAGGAGACATGGGTGACTCCATACCCCACGCAGTCACCCTGAAGAGCCACAGCGCAAGCACAAACACAGGCCATGACAGCCCATGCTCAGGGTGAGAGTACCTTCTCCTCAGCAGGCTCCAGAACACTTGACACGTCTTATTTGGACATCCCAAAATCCCTATGCTTGTGCTAAGACCCCTCACAGAGAGAAAAAACAAACAAACCAACCAACCAAAACGAGGGGCCGTGCACAGAAGCAGGTGCTCTCACCAAGAGCCACCATGGTCACCAAGAGCCACCATGGTCTCAGTCTCTCTTCACACAGAATTAAACTTACCTGGGCGTGAACTCTGAACTTCCACCTGTATTTCATCCTCCTGTCCTCCGACTGCACGTGCAGGGGCTGCTCACATGTAACCGTAACACCGTCAACGTGCTCAGCCATCTATAGGAGAGGCACAAGAGGAGGGGGGCTGAGGGCAATACTCCAGGGACAAACTACCGAGCCTTCCACCTGACCATCTTCATCCCTTGCTTTTATGCTACCTTCTTCCCAGACTGGACCAGCAGTAAATTCTCGCAGCTCAGAGTAGAAAAGGGGACAAACACTGATGTTCAGTTTTTCCACATAGCAGCCTCAGGAAATAAAAGGACACAAGGCAGAGCAGCCTAGCTGGGCAAATAGTGAGGCTCTTTTATACTCAGGTTGCCATCTCTAAAGGGGCTGAAGAAACAGCGACGGCAACGTGCCTTTCCAGAGCTTTCTGCATCTCACCCACCTCCAGCAATTAAACCATTAGAAACATGAACCGTTGGTTTCATTCCCAAGTTCTCACACAAGAGACTTCACACGCACCACTGGCAGAAGCGCTCTGCTCCAGAAAACTAACTTGCTCCCCACCCTCAGCCCAGCACTTACAATGAACACTTCATTGGAGCACTTCTGGTACTCAGCAATGAGCCGATCCTGGTAGGATAAAAGCCCGTCCTTCATGGCCTGTTTCTTTTTCTTTACGGCAACCTTCACCCTCTGGATCCACTCCTGCAGCTCCTCAGTGGAATGGGCCTTGGTGCAGCTATTGCCAATTTCACACACCTCTGCTCTGTAAGGAAAGAAGCCTTGCGCGTTCGACCCATGCCAAAATGAAGCAGCCCACCGCCCCCTCCCCAGTTCCACGCATCCTGAGGCTGCAGGACCTGTGGGCAGGGAGCAACCAGAGAGCTGCCAGAACTTCTCACTCGCTGCGCAAGGCTGACGTCTTACCTGCTGCACAGCGAGAATTTCGTCAGCCCGAGAGGAGGCACGCGGTGAACCCACTGGACGGTGGTGTCGGCCGAGACCATCTGCACGTGCTCCATGGAGGAGCAGTGGTTCTCGAAGCTTTCCTGAGAGCTGAAGGTCACCAGGCAGACCCGACAGTAGAATTGAACCAGAGGAGGTGTCGCCTGCTCGCCGTTCTCGCTGCACGTCTCCGAGGCTGGCAGCAGATCCGAGCGAGCCAAGCCGTACTTCCTCTCCGCCTGCCACACGGCCATCTCCACATCGCTGTGTGCGTAGTGGCACCGCTGAAGGCTGTGCTTGCACGGCTCGCCCTTGGAGACATATCTGCAGTAGCTCAGGGCCGGGATGAACTCAGGGCACGGCCGGATGGCAGTGTACTGCTTCTTCCTCCGACCGTCAGACATCACATGCACCAACAGCGGGCTCCAGGTCCGGTGGTACTCGCAGAGCCGTGCCTGGCCACCCATGGAGATCTGCTGAGGACTTCCATAAAAGCAATGTTTGCAGATCTCCTGGAAGTGTCCCCCAAACTCACTCATGATGTCCCCCGCAGCGCTGGCCAGGTCCGGCAGGGGGAAGCCATTGGGGCAGCTGGCTAGCTGGGCCTGCAGGACCTCAGCCTTCAGCATGCGCCTCTCCAGCTCGTGCTCCCGCTCAAAGTTCCACACCATCGCCTCCTCCGGGCTCCAGGCAAAGGTGCACTGGTTCTTGTGCTTGCTGCAGCCCAAGCCCATGATGTAGTATCGGCAGACCGCATAGCGGGCTGGGTTGGGGAAGCCCGGCCGCCTGGACACCTTCCTCCAGGCCGTGTTCCTCTTGTTCTTGTACCTGGCAAGGAGGATCTCGTACATGCATTTGTGCTCCACCTCTTTCAACCGGTAGGTAATCTCGTTTTCTTTCACGCTGCATTTTGAGCACACCAGGCACAGCTCCTGCTGCCGCTGGAGGCAGTCCAGCGGCACGGAGAGGCCATTCGCCATGGGCATTGTTGGTGGTGGCCAAGCGAAACAGAATTCACACAGAAAAGCTTCTAAAAGTAGATCCAGGGTTCAGGAGGCGCCATAGAGCAGGCTGTGTCCTAGTTCACCACGTACCTGCTGGCCATTGGTGCGAGTTCACAAAGCCTGACAAAGAAACAAGGAACAAGAGAGTTAGCAGGAAACGTTCGCCTGCCTCTCTACTGCATGCACTTTGAGACATTAAAATAACCCAGCCCAGCTCATCAGCTTCCTGAAAGTACCTAGGAACCTCAGCCCACAAAAGAAAACAAACAGCAAACAGAAAACAAACA